TTTAAACTGTCATACAATTTTTTTCATCGATAGTCTGTAATTGGAACCATAACTCTTATTTATTCAAATTGTATTAATATGTAAAGACCAAATGTAACCTATATTATCGTTAAATCTTATCTTATAAAACCAGTGGAACTTCAAAATCGTTAAAATTCATGGCTCCTGCCGCATTACACGGGTACACAACTAGTTTATATATAAATATAAAATATGGAGGCCAATTAATGTGAATTTACAGAATATTTTTATTTAATTAATGGGAAGGGTTGCCTCCCATAGTCCCATGTATTTACATTTAAATACAAATAAAATGAGTGTAAATTTAATTAATCGATAGAAATCATCACCTATAAAACTTTCACTTCTTGTTATCATTATAATCGAATAAGATTCTTAATTTTTATTATATTTATCTGATAAGATAACTGACTTGGTGTAATTGTTTAGCGAATTGTAAAACAAGTTTCTCTAATTAAATAGCACAAATTATGTGTAAATGGTAATAATTTTTTTTTAATTTTTGTTAATTTCATAATTAACATCTTGTGGTCCGTAACTTTAAAAAAGCATAATCACATGAGAATAACGATCAACTTGATTATACTAAAATACATGTTTACTTTTCTAGAATTAAAAAGAAATTATTTATAAAAAATATTCCTCAAAATCTTAAGTAAAATTACGTACAATTTACATGTAATATTCCATATATGTAGTATGTTAGAACTCATTTCGAATCTCGTTTTTGCAATTTCAACTTTACGCGTTCTTTATAGGCAAAATGATTAAAATAAAATTTGCTTTGTTTTGGTTTTTGTTATGAGAAATTTATTTTCAAAAGTTTCATTATGATGTTTACGACGAACAGTGACATACCTAAGATTTTTGTTAAACGGGTGCATCTTTAAGGTGAATTAAAAACCTGCAGGGTCGTATGATATATTTTTAAGCGAACTCAACTGTTTCGAGGGAATTTTTTAATATTTTTTGGTTGATTTTAAGGGACCTTTTCAATTTTTTGTTGATTTCGAATAACTTTTTCAATTTCTTGGTTGATTTCGATGACTTTTTAGGTTGATTTTTTGGTTGATGTTCTTTGTTTTTTTCTAATATCTCGGAGTACCCTTCAAAGTTTAACATGTGTACCTTTTAATATAAAAACATTCTACTTAAGAAAATAAGTCGACCGGGTGCATGGGGACCCGTTTGGGGCTTATTAGGTTCGCCCCTAACGACAAAAAATATTAAACAAAAGTTCCATTATTTCTTGGCTTCCCTGGATTTGAGTTCAAGCACTGCCAAAACCATTATAGCTATGTAGGTTCAATTTTGATGACTTTAGATCATTGTTGGTCGCCCGGGAATTGATCGGTGTGCGTAAATTGACTCAGAAACTCATAGTTACCAAAAAAATGTTTAAGTACCACGTACTTTTAATTAGATAAAAAGAATAATATATTATCTTATACATTACTCAAAATAGGGTTTTTGAAATATATTCTCCAAAATGAAAAACAAAACAAAGTATAATTCATTTTTATAGTACGGTTTGCTTTTAATATCTTGAGCATATATTTTACAGATTTGATTCTTTATGGTCGAGGACATTTGCGTCACATATAATAATACATGACTAAATTAACAATCAGATGGGAATTTGGAACCAAGCAAGAAGGACCAAATAACGTCAGATCGGTTTAGGACCGACAATTTAAAGCATTTATGCAATTTTGGATGATAATACGTAGTAGTGTACTAGCGTGTAAAAAATCATCCAATCCAATTCAATTAAAACTGATTGACCATGATTGGATATCAAACTGAAATTAGTATTATTCATACATTTACAACTTATTATTACTACATACATTAAACTTATTAATACATTTAAATTTTATAAAATGACTTACAACTAACTGTTAAACATGTTTAAATAGAAGATAATAGTTGAGTTCTTCTAATCATCAAAATAAACCACAAAGGTGGTGCATAATTGGTTTGAGCTTGGCTCCAAATGTCAAAAGTACCAGGAGGTTTCAGGTTCAAATCGAAGGAGGAATAAAAACCCCCTTGTGGCCACGGAGGTTCAAATGCGGTGACTTCGGACTATCTGTAAAGCAGGTGGTCGCCCTGTGATTAGTCGGCTCGCATATCGGGTCGGATATCTAGGTTAATAAAAAAAATGCAGTAAGAATCAATGGTATCCTATGCAACAATTTACCCGGTAAGCGTTCACCCTTGTAAGAGTCGTCATCCTCACTTACCGGGTAAGACTCTCCATCATAATCATCGCTCTTACCAGGTAAGATTTTTGGCCATTGCTATGTTAATCCGGTGAGAAAAATTGTCCGATAAGTACTTACTGAGTAAGTGTTAAATAAACGACCCCTAAATATCATAATTCTCATTTCCATCCATCTCCAGCATCACCAGGTAACAAAATTCCTTCCCCATCTCTGTTACCGGGTAAAAGGAAATGGGGATCGCTGCCAAAATCGGGTTTGCGCGGTTTATAAAATTTAATTTTTTCTATAATATTTTTATAAATATCAATTTCACGTTTAAAACTCGTATTATTCTAAAATTTTAATTAACCAAATTTTAATTGTTGAATTTAAAAAGAGTAATTCAAATATAAATATATTAACTACAGTTCTTGATAATTGAAATTTTATATATTCATGTTATATATTGTATCACCGAACGTTTTTCCAAACAATCGAACCATTGAGTGGTATCCCCATTCCCGGTTAACAAATTTGGGGACTCCCATCCATGTCCTAATATTCCTATCCTTGTCAACTCGGGGATTTCCTTGTTAAACCGGGTTCGGCTATCAACGGTTTGTGTTGGGTGCGATTTTTTCTTGCCATCCCTAGAGTTGATCTCGTAGTCTCTTATTGGAACTTTTTTTGTGATAGTTGTAGGTGTTCGATCCAGTTTGCGTGCACTTCGACTAATCTCATGAGTTATTGAAATTAACAACAAGACAAATCTCATGTGATCCTGTGAGTATTTGAATCGGTGACCTTTGAGAGTTGACCTAAAGTATTAACTCATTCATGTAAATTATGGTGATAAACTAAATCAAACTAAACAAACATAGAATCTCCACTCTGAGGTGGGTTCTTGGAAACGTAAGATAAAGTATACCTATCTTCTACCATAAGACTAACACGATCGTCTCTACTAAAAACCCAAGAGTTGAAATGATTTTTTTTAATAATTTATATATCGATTTTTAATTGTTACCTATTTACGATATTTAGTTTTTTTTATTTGAATCATCGACACAAAAACTATATATTATTTATGATCTTGTGAGTATAATCTGGAATGGATAGATACTATCAACGGTTAAAAGACGACCCCCTCTATTTCTATAAAGAGAAAGTATAGGGGCCTATTGAAAAGCAAGATAGAATTGTATCTCTCATGGATTTCATCATAATAAATTAATATCCACATGTGATATGATGCAAGAAAAAGAAACCCTAGCTTTTTTTTCCTCTTCTCCTACAGTAACCCTAATCATCTATCTGTTCATTGAGAATTTTTAGATCTCAACTCCATTCTCAATTTAACAAAAAAAGGCCCATACATACACTCATCGAGATCATAGGTCAGATCATGCATTGCTGCTAGCAATCATCATGTCTTCTGACCCCCCCCCCCCCAACTGCTCCTTCTGCAAAATATATTATATGTGAAGGCTCTACAGCTCATGGCTACTTCATTTTCATTCTCTCTCCTCCCCCTTCTCTCTTTNTCCTTCTGCAAAATATATTATATGTGAAGGCTCTACAGCTCATGGCTACTTCATTTTCATTCTCTCTCCTCCCCCTTCTCTCTTTCTCTCTCTCTCATCATTAGTTCATCCCAACTTCAACAAGATTCTTTACGCAACCTCAAAACCCCATTATAAATCAAGATCAAACGAGAGTATGTATATCTAGTTAATTAAGCTGTTTGAACTGAATTGAAGAGAAGAAGAACTGAAGAAAGATATGCGTTCACTGAAGAAGAAGAGAAGATGTGAAATGAAACCCTAGCTAGATAGGTCAAAGGTCAACTCGGTCTTTGATCACTTTGTTTCTTTGAGTAATCTAATGTGGAATGAAAGCAGATTGGTCCGATTGTTTGATTAGATCAAACAAACCTTATCTTTATTTGCCATATTGTAAACAAGTTCAGTTTACTTTTCATCTGGGCTTCATGAGATTTAGGTAATCAAACTTCTACTGTTACTTTAATATATATATATATATATATATATATATATATATATATATCAACTTCTTAATGATTCCATGAGTTTTTATTTTTTGCTAGCTTCAAGATTCAGTTCATCATGATGAGGTATCATGATCATTATGGTTGGTCTTTTGACCAACTGGCATTCATGATCAACGAGTCAATCTGAGGGTTTGCGATTTGCTTTTTAATTTGTGTATCTGAACTGCTTTCATCAAGATCGCAAATATGCTAGTTGCTGGTTGCAGAGCTCGAGAAAGTTGAAAACAATAATGGGGTTTGTTAGTTTGTATGTATGGATGAGGTGTGTTCATCATTCGTGAAATAAAAAGGTTGTGTGATCATCATTTGAGGGTATTTTTGTAAGGAATATATATCACATGACGTGATTTTGCTTCACAAACAAAATTAAAATGTGTTTATGGTAAATTAGAAGTTGAAATTTTAAATAAGTGAAAGAAAATATGTTTGTGTTTCAAAAAATCTGTCATATATATAGTGAAATAGTGGATAGTTTCTATTGTAAATGTGTCTTCCGTAGTTCCGTTTTGAACCGGGGATAAGAATAATGCGATACGTCTCCTGATTTGCTTACATTCATCATGAATATTACACTAAGGGTGCGTTTGGTTTGCAGGAATGTAATGGAATTGGGGGGATTTGGATTTGAAATCCATTCCAATCCAGTGTTTGGTTTGCTGGATTGTGAGGATTTGAAATCCAAGGATTCGTTTGAAATCCAAGGATTCCTTTGAAATCCCTTAAATGATGGATTTGGAAATCCTTTGGAAATGGGTGGTATTTCAAATCCAGGTATGGTCGGATTTCTCTTCTTGCCTTAATTTAGTAGTGATGCTCACTGAACCCTGAACAAAATCGACGCCATCAATGCCCCCTCCTCCCTCGTCCTTCTCACCGATACCATAGTTGTCATCCTCCCTTCTCACCGTCTCCGTCGCCTCCTCCATCGCCATCTTGGGATTTTGTTTTGCCCTAACTTACCGTCTCCATCGCCTCTTCCATTTTCATCCTTCACCGTCTCCATCTCGCCTCCTTCATTTTCATCAATCACCGTCTCCGTTGCCTCCTCCATCGCCGTCTCTGTCGCTTTCTCCCACGGTGGTCGTCACGTCTCCGTTGCTTTCTGTCACGGTGGTCGTCTCCGTCTCCGTCGCTTTCTCCCAAGGTGCGTCTCTTTTCTTCAATCCTCTCCTCCATCGTCGTGGTTCTAATGCTTTTGTGGTTCTGGAAATCGATGTTTTTTCTTGATTTAGTTCTTGAAATTGATTGAAAGACGTGTTTATAGCTTGACTGCTTCACGGTTTCACTCGATTGCTTCATTGTTTCATACCTAATCTTCACTGTTTCACTTGACTGCTCATTATTTCATACCTAATCTTCAATCCTGGTTATGATGAAAAGATCCCATATCGACTTGAATTTAAGCTTTGTAAATGGCCAGTTCATTGGAATTATTCTTGATGAATTTGTTGTTAATAACTTTCAGTCACTTCTGTTGGATTAATAGCTTTGATGGTTAAATAGATAGTTTTGAGAAATGAAAGAGATTTGATGACTAAAATAATTTCAAAAGAAAAAAAAATCTCAATACAAATCCTGCAAACCAAACACAGGAATGGATTTTAAATCCAATCTAATCCAAATCCCTCCTGGGAATCCAAATCCCTCAGAAACATTCCTACAAACCAAACGCACCCTAATTGTGATGAATATCATGTAAGAGTGGCAGAGTCACATTATAAACTAACGGGGTCTGTTGACCCGAGTTCAAATTTAGATAGCGTTTGGTTCGTAAAATATTTTTGGATGAAATTGAATATGTTAAAGGAATTTGACTTTGAAGGAATTGGTATGGAATGCCGTCAGGTTTGACCATCTGTTTGGTTGACAGACATTGTGATGAAATCTGTTAAGGAATTGRAATTTGTCTGTTTGGTTCACAKAATGTAGCTTGGAATCGGAATGAAACATTGTGATGGAATCTGTTAAGGAATTGAAATTTGTCTGTTTGGTTCACAGAATGTAGCTTGGAATCGGAATGAAACATTGTGATRGAATCTGTTAAGGAATTGAAATTTGTCTGTTTGGTTCACATAATATTGCTTGGAATCAGAATGAAATATTGGTAAATGACCAAAATGTCCTTTTTGAAAATTTAAATTTTTTTAAAACAAAAAATACTTTAATAAAATAATTATTTAATATGTAAACAATAAAAAATTCACAGCCCAAATATAACCATAAGCCAAACGACGTTGTTACTAAATCAATGGTCCACGGTGGTTCATATAGCAGTGGTCGATAGTAGTTCAGATGGATGGTGGTCCACGGTGGTTCAGATGAAGGTGGTTAGTGGTGGTTCAGATGGATGGTGGTAGCGGTTGTTCAATCGTTAGTGGTCGGCGGTGTCCGAAGGTGATTCAAATCGATGGTAGTCGCCGGTGGTCGGAGTGGTGCAGATCGGTGGTGGTCCATGGTGATTCAGGTGGCAGTCGTCGAATGTGGTTCAGATCAGTGATGCTTGATTGTGGTTTAGATCGGCGGTGACCAACGGTGATTCGTATCCGTAGTAGTTGGCGGTGGTTCAGATTGATGGTGGTCTGTGGTGGTTCAGATGACGATGATCGACAGTGGTTCACATTGGTGGTGGTCCATAGCGGTTTAGATTCATCTAAATATCTAGTTATTTTATCTTAATATCTAGTTTTTTTTTATAGTTTTGTTAAATTCATCTAAATATGTAGTTATTTTATCTTTAATATAAACTAGTTTATCATATTTAATTCGTTTTATATGTTCAAAGCCTCAAGTAAGGTGTCTAGAGATAAAATATATAAAATTAGGTTATAATTTACCATTTGGTTTAACCGAAATAATAAAAGAATAACGGAGATTATGAGAAGTTGTAAGTGCGACCCCAGTTACTAAACCGGTTAAGACTGAAATTGTAGAGATGAAGATGAGTTGAAATTGGAAGGAATCTTGTGGTTATAAAGTTGAGGGTGTGCAGTCGTCACATCTGCATCAAAAACCGTGGGGAATCATTAGTGTTCTTTTAAGGCCATGCCATGGCCATGCCATGTCATATAGAATTACATGTAAGCTGCCCACACAATTGAATTTATAAGAAGAAAATCAAGTAAGAGATAATGAGGGAAGTCCTTCGTTTACTTGGGCCTTGCAGGAGACCAGAAAATGCCTCCACTTATTCAATATATATTATAGACGCTTAAATTTACATATATATGTTTATTGTATCTTTTTTAAAACAAAAACGTTATCAAACAAGGTGTTACGTACTTACGTTTATGGTTGTTTCATAGTAATCGATATATATATTTATATTTATATACTATTTCATTAAATAGGAGAAACTTTCGTTGAGGTTTATCTTTTTTCTTAGAATATGGAGAGTGGATTAAAGAGACGACCTCCATTGAAGCTTTAAATTTTTGTTCGAATTTTTATTTTTTTTAAATAAAATCAATATATGTATATATATGTATATAGAGAGTGAGTGAGAGAGTGAGTGAGTGAGTGAGTGAGTGAGAGAGTGAGTTATTATGTAATCTTTTACATTTATACAATCAATACAACTCAATTTCAATCGTCCATTTAATTTGATGAATATGTGATTACATAAAAGTTTTGATTGTTTTATAATATAAAATATTGATCATAAATAATAAATCATAGTCATCTTTCATAAATATTCAAATCATAATAAATGAACTCTCATCATTTTCATAAATATCTCAATTGATTGGGTTGCATTGGTTGTACAAATGTGATGAGTTGCATTTGAAATGTCCTCTCTCTCTCTCTCTCTCTCTATATATATATATATATATATATATGTATATAGGGGTCCATTCAAGGGATAACTGACTATTTTGTGATAACCGTAAGATTTAATCTCAACCACAAATTAATAGATAAATTAAAAAAAATTATAATTTTGATAATTTTGAATTATAATTTTAATGTAATGACATTTTAAGTATTTTCTCTTCTCTCTTCTCTCTCCGGCCTCCTGCCACCGTTCTCCGGTGATACCACTGTGGTACCTAAAAATATTGGCTCTATTAAACAAAAGACACAGTGTGATACTTAAACACATATAAGATGCATTGTGATACCACTGTGGTATCACCGGAGGACAGAGAGAGGAGAATTTTAAAATACCTAAAATGTTCTTCCATTAAAATTTTAATTCAAATTATCAAAATTATAAATTTCCTAATTTATCTATTGTTTTGTGGTTGGGATTGGACCTCACGGTTACCACATAATAATTAGTTTTCATTTAATTAGGCCTCTATGTACATATATATATATATATATATATATATATAGGGTCTATTCAAGGGAGAACTGAGTTGTTTGTGGTAACTGTGAGAACCAATATTAACCACAAATCAATAGATAAATTAGGAAATTTATAAATTTGGTAATTTTAAATTAAAATCTTAGTGCAAAGATATTTTTGGTAATTCGATCGACCACACAAACGACATCAATGTGATACCCAAGCACATATATGATGCATTGTGATACTATTGTAGTATCACCGGAGGACGGTGGCCGAAGGACGGTGGCCGGAGAGAGAAGAGAGGAGGGAGAAAAGTTTTAAAATACCAAAAATATCCTTGCATTAATATTTTAATTCAAAATTGCCAAAATTATAAATTTCCTAATTTATCTATTGATTTGTGGTTAATATTGGTTCTCACAGTTACCACAAACTAATTAGTTCTCATTTGATTAGGCCCCTATATATATATATATATATAAAAGAAATAAGATTATTCCATTAATTAATCTCTTTTTCCTCTTAATTTTGAACTATTTTTAAGGTTTTTGTTTTGATGTTTAGGTTGTCACACATTTAGGGTAGCAGGGGTGTTAAAAACGTTGGACCATTCAAACCGGTCGAACCAAGTCAAATCAGACCGTTTTTAGCTGTTTGAGCGGTCTGGCGATTTGGTTTGGTTTGGAAAATAGTAAAAACGGGCAGTCCGGTCCGGTCTGCAGTTTGGAACAATTTCTGGGCGGTTTGGACTAAACCGACCGCTATATATATAGAGGTTGGTTATTATACAACCCTTGTCATTTGTGCAACCAGTACAACCCAATCTCAACCGTCCATTTCATTTGATTAAAATGTGATTTTATAGAGGTTTTGATTATTTCTTAATATAAAGTATTAATCATAATTAATGAACCGTGTTCATCTTCCATAAATATTTAAATCATAATAAATGAACTCTAATCATTTCCATAAATATTTCAATTTACTGGGTTGCATTGGTTGTACAAATGCGATAGGTTGT